TGAACACTGTTGCCGAAAATATGTGAGTATGAATGTAAGTATGTACATATGTATTCGCCACAATGATGGACAAGCGGATTAGCATTATCGAGTATGGACTGACTGACTACTAGGTGGTTGAGTCGGAAAATGTATAGTCCATACTAGATGCTGTGATAAGGCATTATACATAGGTATATAGTATAAATGGATTCGTTTTAGCATTATAGTTGAATTTGAGAAACATTCGGGTGAATAAAGAGGCGGAGAATACTTTTAGATGCGCCGCTTGAGTAAGCGCCACAAAAAGTGGATTAAATACGATATGAATGCTGCTGGTTTAAATGTGAGTGTAACGAATATTTCAAGGGGTGAGGTTAATCTAGTCAAACTTGAACTATTTGGTCGATATTTTATGGTTGTTTAACTTGCGTGCGATTTATATTTATTCACACTTTTCTTCTATAAAGTTTTAAAGGTTTTATCTTCAGAAATTTCCCGCCACTCTAAAATTATTGAAAATGACATCAAATAAAGATCGCTAAGGAGATAGATCGCAGTGAAAGAGGGAATTTGTCTATGCTTTGAAAAGTCTCTAACAGGAGAAGAGTTCATATTTATCTAGATATATGTTTTTTATTATGCCCTTCGTTGAACTTTCGAAACTCTAAAAGCGCTGTAACATCGTAGATAATTAGAGTAAGTTATTGGGTAAAGAGAGAAAGGGTAGAGCCAACAAGCACAAAGTAAGAATAAAATTTTAGCTGAATATCCTTGCTAAGAGTCTTCAAATGATTGAGCTTTAAATAAATATAAAATTTAATAGCAACTACCTTTAATAAGTCACTTCAGATTGACAGCATCATCAAATTTCAATTTATTCCATATTCAAGATTCCTTTAAAGTCCACATGGCAGAAATATATCAATTACTGGAAAAGCAACAATAACAAAATCACACTTGCGGCGATTGATGAATGAATTGACGATGACAATCAACTTTTCTCGGCTCAATTGTTTATCGTAGACCATTACACCAACATTGTTGAGACGAGCGCGAATGACCAAAACATTGGCCTCGATGACATACACACAAGCCAGACTCGTGCAGGGCCTACATAAATATATATAACTAACAATAAATACATAAATAAACAAACAGAAGATGAGCTAAGATGCGGTAAAAAAAACCGAAGCAAATAAACGAAAAAGAGAGAAAGCAAGTCAGAAACTAAAAGGCTAATAATAACATAAAAAAAAACCAAAATAATAAATATAAAACAACAACAATACCGGTGACAATAATAATAACAAAAGCATCAAAAGCATTAAAAGCAATATATGCAAAGAAATTTAGAGGAAAAAAATAAACTAAATAAATAAAATGCTTTTATATGATGGACTAGAAAAACTAAATTGTGAAAAGAAAAGATAGTTAGTTATAAAAAGTTTAAAAAAGAAATGTTGGAACTTACCGTGTTAAGAAGAGGTGACAGCCACAACTCAGCAACTAACGAGGGACCGACCGTTAATAAGCTGCGCCAGTTTTGTGAACGAGATTTGAAGATACACCAGCGCGTAGTCGTTAAGGGTGATGCTGCCAGACAGGCAGGTCGGCGGCGTTGAAAGGCGAGAAGACTTGTTGAATGGTCATGAGATTTAAAAAAAAATGTATTGAATAACAAAATGTAGACTAAACGTTGTGGGATAAGGCACACAGACAGACAAACGGACGGAATAAACGGCAAAGTAAGGAACCGGTGATGAGATGACACAAAGAAAAAGGAACTGAAGTGTAATCAAAGAGATGTGCGTGCGTCAGTGGAATGCTTCTTTTATATATTTTTTGATTGCGCTTTTGAAAGTGAGGCTTCGGAAGAAAAGAAAAAGCGCAATGACAAACGAAAGTGCTCGAGCACTTAAAACTTAAACACAAATATTTTTAGGAAAAGTCAAACAATAAACATAATTAAAAGTGGCTGCAAAAGCACGGTTAATACATATGAACGTCAAGTCAAATATATGATTTGTATATTTGTAACAAGAGAGAGTTAATCAAATTAAATATAATTTTACAGCTCTCCAAAATAACTTACCGCTTTTAATAGCAAATAATATCTTTGAAATCTTAAGCCTTAACTGACATTATTGTCTCTTTGGATTTTTATACCCTAAACAGGGTATATTAAGTTTGCCACGAAGTTTGTAACACCCAGAAGGAAACGTCGGAAACCCTATAAAATATACACATACATAAATGATCAGCATTATGGGCTGAGTTGATTTAGCCATGACCGTCTGTCTGTATGTATACTTGTATATACAAATTAGTCCCTTAGTTTTTAAGCTGTCGATCTGAAATTTCGCACCTGTCCTTTTCTCACAAAGATGCTACCCATTTATCGGAATGGCCGATTTTGGACCACTATAGCATATAGCTGCCATACAAACTGAACAATCGGAATCAATTACTTGTATGGGAAACTTTTTTATTTAACGAGATATCTGCACGAAATTCGGCATAGATTTTGACTTAAGGCAATAATCCAATCTTCGAAGAAATTGTATAGAACGGATGTCTATAGCATATAGCTGCCATAAAAACTGAACGATCGGAATCAAGTGCCTGTATGGAAAACTCTTTCATTTGACGAGGTCTCTTCACGAAATTTTACATTTATTATTGCTTAAGGCAACAATGTATTATCTGTAGAAATTGTTCAGATCAGATCACTCAATCATAAATATGCCATATAAATTGCAACCGAAGTTAACGTTTTTTCTTGTTCATAGCTTTTTTGACCTTTTGTCGCTGACCAAGTCGCCTCCACAGTAGTAACAACCTTTCTCGATAATCGCTACTAAGCATATAAAATAAATTAAACTTCTTTAGAGGTATATCCATGCTTTCTGTGATGTCCAGATTTCTGAATTTTATATTTCGGGATTAGAGAACAAAAGCAAATATTAAACATCGGAACTCACTTTATTGTTTCTCAAAATATTCTCCATTAAGATCTATACACTTTTGGATTTGTTTAAACCAGTTTTCGGAGCACTTTTGCCACTCTAATTGAGGTATTGCCATAACATGAGTTCTGAACGCAACAACCGTCTCTTCTGATGTCGAAAAACATTTGGTGCCAAGTCAAGCCTATACGGTAGATGATTCATCAAGTCGCTGTTTTGAGTGTTTAAAAATGCAGTTGTTGCAGTCGATCTGGGAGAGTTCTCATTGTCGTGTTAAACAGTGACCCATCTTTAGCAGTTGGTTTTCTTGATTTCTTGAAAGATAACTGGCAAATAAATAGTTGTATACCAATCAGAATTTACTGTTCAGCGTTGTTCTCGTGATCAGTTTTTCCAAAAAATGGGCACCGGGTTCGTGCGCGAAACAACTTTTGTTGGATTCGTCTCATCTGGAAATAACTATACAGTCGACTGCTGTTGCCTTTCGGTGTCAGCTGTTAGCATTGCGGATGAGAGGAAATATACTCTGCATTTGAATGGCTTTTACTTGGTTTTCCAGATTACTAAGAACTTTTGAAACGAACTGATTTTAAAATCAACAGTCCTCGCAAGGGAATGGTTCTACACCTTTGCTTTTTCCGTTTTAGTAACGTAACAAGATTTAACAATCCCATGCCAGTTCAATTGCTTTGACGATTGTGCGACGCAAAAGAACAAGCTACGCATGCGCCTATTAGCCAAGAGCCAGCAACGAACCCAACAGCAATAACAAATGCATGTCGTACAACAAAAACTAAAGAATTCAAAAACAATCTTCGCATTTTAGAGCTTCAAATTTTACAACATTGTCAAGAGAATATGATTTGGCATTCAAATGGTAAGCGCCACAGCCACAACAACCGCAACAACATCAACGTGATAACGTTGCATCATCATCACTTACCGACTCCACCGTTTCTTCTATATTTTAATCGTTGTCATCATCCACATTTTCTAGGCATTGCTTTGTTGTTGCTTCATCTAAGCAAAGCAAACATAATATGCTTGCTTTTTCTTGTAAGATGCACTTTAATGTTGTTGCTTTGAGGTTTTTCGATTATGTTATATCGTCATAAAAGGTGGCGTCGATTACCTGCTGTGAGAATTTTAGTTTGTTGGGGACCTGTTAATACAACTTAATTAATGTTAAGCCACAGGAACCGCATTTGACGGCACGACTATGAACTAACGGTATTGAGTGTTACCGCTATTACTGCTTCGAAATAATTCATATGTTGTGGAGCAAACCAATATCCAAACTTTGAGTAAAGACTTATAACTTGTAGGTATTCTCACTTGTTATAAGATATAGACTTATAACTTGAGGGGCAAGTATTTTCAGCTATTAAGCTTATGCTGCGATTATTATGCAGAATAAATTCGAGCCGAAAGGCCAAATTTACGTCCACTTTGTGAAGCAATTGGGGCCGTATGTCAGCAATAACGCGCCGAATATTATCTTTCAAGGTATCAGTCGTCTCAGATCTATCTGCGTAGACACGCGACATCGCATGACTCTGCTTTTCGATACTCTGCTGCTCAGCTGCAATAGCGTCTTCGGTGTGAGTTGTTCGGTGTTTCTGAGGACGAGCATTATCTACCAGAGTAAGCATGGTGCGAAACCGATCAGTGTTGGGTGATTAAGTCTACCGAATATTGGACGCAGATTGCGATGCGTTACGCCAACCAAACCATTATTTAAGTAACAAATTTGTACGATTTGCAAATGTTCTTCTCCGGAACAAGTCTGTTTATTATAAAATAGCAAACCAAACTGAGTGCAAATCAATAACAGATGTCAAAAAAACAAACTCCAAAAAAAAAATAATTGCCTCATTGAAACCCACAAGTCTAAAAAAATACCCGTTAGAATGCCAAATCATGATTAATGTTTGATATATCAGTCAATATAAGAATGATAAGTTACATTACGAGTGAGTTATGAATATTTAATGGAACATTTTCTTATAATTCTATTTCATAATCGATGAGCCCCTACTTAAAAATTCGTTATTTATTTTCATTCCCTTTTAAGCTGTACTTTTTATTGGTTTTACAATGTGCATAAGTATATGAGAATTTATGTTTGTGTACATTTAATTAGACTATCCAAATTATCCGTAGGATGACTTAAAAGCAAAACAGCTCAAATCGAGTTAAGGCAGAACCGAATTATAACCCCTTTATTGTTTATGGCAGCAAATTTCAACATCTCAAAATTATGGTATTTGTTCCAAAATCAACAATTGAAATCATGAAATGCATTTTGAGCGCCAAAAACAACAAATAAAGTGTGTTCTTCAAAACTTCCAAAAATCGACTTAAGCCGTTTGGTCTTGCATTCACCGATATACATGTAAATAAAATTTCTTAAGTTTATTAAAGTTTCTCGGAAAATCGTTGTGTTGGTCCATTTGGCCTCCACACCGGTGTCTGTAAGGGAAGATCCTTATGACGAAACGCCAGCGTCGGGTGGAACAATGGATTCTCCGGAGAAGTATGGTTACGTCGCATGCAACGGTTCGCAGTCGAACAGGGCCGGCAGTACGAGAGATTTTTAGTTGTTGCACTATGACACGGGACTGTGGACGACCATGGTGATCTGGGTAGATTCCGATTTTTATAGCCGTCACAACAGTCTCTTTGTGGCTGCGTGTTCGAACAGATACCCACGTGACAGCCATATTCGCAACTGCCCGGCGGCCACAGCATAAAATCGATCGATGGCTGCCATTGATCATAGGAGGGTAGGGTAAACTGCTCCATGCCCATTAAACGTTGTCCATCAGCACAAGCGCCATTCGCGTCACATTTACAGTTATCGCAGCTGCAGAAGATAGGGGAGTACGAGTATAGCAAATGGTGGCTATACTTAAGGCGTATACATTTACTTACTCGCTAAACATATTGAGGCGATTTATATAATATTATTCTTTTTTTATTTTATTTTTTTTTAACTGCTGAGTTGGACCGTAGTAAGTAGCAGTTGGTCTTAAACTTATTCGAGATATTGAATTGTTGTAATTTAGAATTTTTTTCGAAACTTATAAACAAAATATTTCAAAGGAAAAATTAAACAAAAACAAAAGCTAATAAAATTTTCGAATTTGAATACTCAAAAAGAAGAGAAATCAACAGAAGCTTTCAAAGCTGAAAACTCTGTATTTGAATAGAGATTTTATTTGTTCACTAATGATCATATTATATTATGACTGTTTTCACGCGACTCTTGCAACCTCAACACTACAACATTTGAACTTTCAATGCAAATTAGTTGTGCCCGATTGACCCAACCTCTGCATACATATTCTTAATGTACTTTCGGATTCCATAATCTATTATTCAAAATAGTAATTGGCGACGTCTAACCACTATTCTGACTATATTTACTTCCTTTTGTAAATCTGTCTTAATGCCGTCACAGTTGGTTAGAGAAATCAAGACACTTCTCAAAAGAGTAGAGTGACAAGAAACTATTGATGTCCCCAGTTGGCCATTTGCAGCCCTAATTCGCTCTCAAAGATAAGTGTCCAACAACTATGTATTAGTGAGTGGTAGGAAAGTGTTTTCAAATACCGATTAGCTCTTGTTAAATCTACATATATAATCTAGTTGTAATAAAATAGTTAGGAGACTTGCATCGTATTAGAAAAGTTAGACATCAAAAAGTGAGCGCAGAGAACTTAGGACTATTGGTGTCAGTTAGAGAGAGAGAGAGATGCTTACAAGAGACAATTGACGATCTTACAAAATATATCTTCTTTGTATCTAACTTAAAAAGGTGCACTCTATAGAACAAAGAAATTTATTTTTAAAGGCTTGATTATCGTTAAAATTTGAATCAGCTGAGCTGCCTCAGATATGAAATCCATACGACCAAATCGGTCTGAGTATTACTCTAAATATATGAGTTGCTTAATCTTTAGACTGGGACGCGATTTTGAACATAGGAGCCAGTACACCTGCGCAAACCTTAACTGGTGCTGAGTTCTCTTGATTTGCTCGTGGTCTCTCCAATTGTAAGTCCGTGCTTGGTAACAACTGCCCAAACAAAGTCACTTGTGAAAGTATTTCGAGCCTGCGGTTTTAATTATATTGACTTTTCAGTACGAGTATTAAAGCAAATGTTCCATTTGGTGAGCCCCGATTCTAAATATTCTTTCAAATGTTTTCGAAATAAATACCACTATGCTAATCGGTCCATTTGAATTGATCAGATACTCATATTATCCAGGTTCGGATTCAAAATTATTTCCGCGCATTTCCATTAAGAAGGAAAATAGCAGAGTCCGAATATAACATTAAAAAGCTTGACGATCACGCTGATTACGTTTCCTGGTAGCGCTTTAAAGGCTAGTGCATTAATTTTGACGGAATCAGCTGATTTTTTGTTTACCATCGTTTTGATCTCCTCCTGTACTTTAACATCATCTATTGATAGCTTCATCTGACAAGTAACGTCCAAAAATTTGATGTCTTCTGCATGTTGGAACTGTCACTAAACTTGTTAGGAGTAAAGGTATTTTGGAGTTCTGTTGCAAATGCATCGACTTTTTCTGCATTAGTCCAAAGACCTCTGCTGTTGATAATTGGAATTTTGCTTTAGTTTAGTCGTGAAGAATAACAAACTTTTTCAGTTTCGGCAAGTAGTATGTGACTTCGCTAAATGAATATAAATATTTTTTGCCTAAACTCCAGACAAGTTCCCTTCAACTTTTGTTAAATTTAATTTATATTTTCATTTTTATTACATTAAATTTTTGACACAGTTGTAAGGAGGTTTAATACCACATATTATGTTTTAACCGATACGTATAAGATAACTGATTCATCGTACAACGCGGTGGTGGTGCACACGGGCTGTGCAAATGATTTCGGGGCCATATTGGGCAACGTTTACTGTAGCACTTTCGGTAGAAAGAACATTTGTAGGTGGTAGCGCTTTCTGGTAGGCTAGTGGGGCGACCAAACCAAGAGCTTGGTCGAATAGCGCGACGGCGGCGTGGTTGTTGGAAATAGGTGCTTCCATCAAAATTAACACAATCGTTAAAGCTAAGAGCATCATCACATTTACCGTAATCCCAATTATATTCGCCTAGGGGTGGCAGATTGGGTGGACAAGCGGTAGTTGAAGACCACGTGTTAATTATAGGAAGGAAACCGTCCTGCCTGGGTTTGATTAGAATTGTAATTTAAATGTTTGAGTAAAAACTAATCGCTGGTCCATTACGTTCGTAAATACTTACTGTGTCATTATGGCTTTAGTTTTGTTTGCTAGAACGAAATTGTTTTGTTTAAAAATACGGAGCTGGAAAAATTTTGTATTTATTTATCAATGTCTTGAAAGGATAATTTAGAGTGCTTGAAATTCTGACAGAATAATTTAAAAACAAAAATATGTTGTCAAATTTATATTTGAATATAGTGTCTTTCCACGAAAGAATCGATTGTGGTGCATATATCAATTATGCGGATATCTCCGAAGTATACATCATAAATAAAAAGAAAAAGGCGAGCAACGATACCCCTACGAATAATATCTTGGCTAGGCTCCTCACTCGGGAGAACAGGCATAAAATGACATTTTTGTTTCCAATTTGGATTTTTGTAACCCTTGTAGAGCTCTAACTAAATATAAATGTATTGTTTTTAAATCTCGACCATAATCTTATTGTTGTTGTCGGGATTAGAACAGAAAGGAAATATTTCTTTCATAGAATAATTGAAACTGCGAACGGAATAGCGCTGCCATAACTCAGTTGGACTTCATGTACTACCAGCTTAAACCCTTAAAATATGAGATAGCGTAACTTATAAAGCACAGATAGTTCCTATGAGATGGAGGCTTTCAACTGGAGTAAAAGTTGCGAAATCAAGTTTTTGAATTTTGTTGTTCAGATTGAACTTAGTGTGATGTTTTGAGGCCGATACAAATCTGGTAGTTTAACCTATATATTTTTATGTGCAACCCAGTCGAGAAGCATGTCGAGGTGAACTGACGCAGTTGAAAAAATACCATAAAGCGTTCGTGAGTCATAGCATTCGATAAGGTTACTAACCATCACATTTTATCGAACCTGAAAGGTTTTTGTTGCCCCAACGAGGTTCAGCTCAACTTAATGAATGGTTATAAAAATGTATTTTCTTCTTTCTAGAGTTGTCAAATAACCAAATTATAACACAATAGCTTATAATGTCAATTTTGTAATAACCGAGTCTGGATTTAATTTTGGTAAAGCACACACCTGCTTCAGGGTTACCAGGTGTTCAATAATTTTTCAAAATAAAATTTTGTATTACGCTCTCAGCCGATCAAGGATCATTATTTAATCTCTTCCAGTTTCTCTTTACGTTTCTTCGTTAGCACAGCAGGCACTTGTTCGCCGTAATTTCTACCGGTGTAGCTCCAATTGAATTCGTCCGGAAACGGTAAGTTTGGAAGGTACGGTGTATATGCCGAATATCGTGGACAAAACATATATATGGGAAGACAATGCTGATTCTGTGGCACCAGTTTTGTATCGGCTTTGCTTTGTGAATTCTTTTCCACCTCATCGCTACTAAAAACACAATAAAATATTATTTATAAATCGCTTTATATACATATTTCTTACTCCAGATCCATTTTATAGGATTTGGTAGAATTTTTGTTGCTGCCTAAGAGCTTATATAAGTGATTTCGAAAGGAAGAAAATTTATTAATAGAAATTGTGATTTAAAACTTTCATTTATTCTTGAAGAATGTATGTGATTAATAAGGGGAATATTGAAAGTATTTGTTTATTATTTTTTTTTAAGTCGGAAGGTTTCGATTGCAAAGTTTATTTTAGTATATGAGCTAAAATATTTATTTTGCCTAATATGCAACCCATTTTCTGCAATTTAAATCCATAATTTAATTTTCAAAACGTTTTTACAATGCTCTATCTTCAAATATGTCTGTCATCCAAGTCGCATCCCAAGATAGATAAGAAACCAAACTTTGCTAAATGAAAAAAATTAAGCCCTTTCTCTATCAATAAATCACTTTGAATTTGAAAAAGTGTATAATTTGTCGAGCTCTAGGGTTAAATACTAACTAGCATAATCTGATTTTGATTTTTCCAAGCTTTTCGTCTAGCCTTCGTATATCAATAGCGACTTGAATGTACAATCCACCAAGAGATGCTCACATACCCCAAGAACTAGGCTCTATAGCCGACCTTTGATTTCGCTTATTAAGTTCTAGTCAAATGTGTGTCATTGCACAGATTAAGATAAACTAGAAATAAATAGAGTCATTAGTAAATTTCTTACATCTGGGAAAACTTTTTGCACTGCAGTTTTCGAGGTTAGCTTATAGGGGCAGACGTCAATAGTCGATCTTCATTGCTACTTCAGTACTTTATCTTATGTTACATCAATATTTATAAAAGAAAACTTGGTCTGGCTGACTGATCCTTACGATATTCCATTGAAAATTGACTAAAAATATCAAAATTTTTAAGGCATGAAAAAGGTTTATTTCGATTTACGGCAAAACTGCGAATCCTTTAGAAAAAAGTTATGAATCAAAATTGTAGATAATGAAAAAATCTACAACTTTTGTTTTACGTTTTTTTACATAACCTCAAAATGTTTCACATAACACCAAATTTTTCTCCTCAAAATTTATGTGAAAAATTAAAATAACCAAATTTTCGGTTTTTATTTTTAAGAAGTTTTGTTCACACTTACCTTTTTATGACCCAAGCATGCTATATTTTTTATTTAAAATATTTTTTTTAAATATAATATCGATAAAACATATCACGTTAAAATATCGAAATTTTTTGAATTTTGTTAGCTTTATGATTGTTGTTATGATCTCTGTCTTAACATACTCCACCAAAGGATTCAAAGCTGCTTATTTTAAAGCTGCTACTAAGAAATAACAGGTGTATGAAATAAAATGCAGCTTTGAATCGTTGTTATCGATAGAGCTTTGATAATTTGGATTCAATTCGAGGAGTTAAATTATTTTGGCATTGCCAGACACAAATGCCCAAATACATTTAGGAAATGTTGCCGTGTTGCCAATCCTTTCCTGCCATCGGATATTCTTCATACCTAGTGTAGGCATAATTAATGGATTATATAATATTTTCAAAAACTGGAACTGTTTTTCTGATACAATCAACTCTTTTCTGAGCAAAGTCATAATACCTGACATCTAATGCACGCGTGTATAAATATTGGTCGATTAACTAATAAAAATTTTTGCCTTCATATTGCTGGAGGATGAAGAGAAAGAAAGTCTTCTAATTTGTGTCGTTATGCAGACACATACATACAAACACACACGCATACAAATGTGCATTACTCGTTTGCAAACAAAGTTGAACCGTTTGTCGAGATAATAGGCTGTAAAATTGTTTACTGATGAGACGTTCCACATAAACATATGCACACATTGCCAGCGCTAGTAAAGTAATAACAAAGATGATGATGAGAAGTGTATGTGTGTATGCAAGTGCATCGATGCTACAAGTAGATTGCAATTAATGCTGTGCACGTTGTTTTGTTAGATTTTTCACACCGCTTTTGAGCGGCGCTGTACATTTGCTTACAAAGTTGTTTTTGTTTTTCTTTTAATTTACATTTTTTATGCAACACCTTTTTCATTCTTTTCGGGTTTTAACGCATTCTCTATGTATACATACGGCTTTTGTGTATGTATATAAGCAAATAAACAATTCAGTTGCAAATTCCGCTGAGAATTTCTCACAACTATAATAAAGTATACCATATACACACAGAATATTGGTGCAATCTTTTAGCTACATATATGTATGTATATATATATGTAAGTATGTATAATTATAGCTACATTAACTGCATTGTATGAGGATGTGCACAAAAATGCATATTCACACATTCCCTTTGTCTGTCGGGCAACTTATGCCAGACGGCATTTGCACCGGATCTTCAATGCAACAAAAATAAAATTGTGTTGCCATTCATCGCGATTTGCTATTTTTCAATAGCACATTTGAATGTACGAACATGTATACATAAGTATGAATATCTATGTCAGTGTGTCTTAATTTCAATTAAAATTTAAAACAACAACAACAACAACAATATAGTGCCATGCATTAGTGAGTTGTTAATATGATCAGTCAGCTGATAGTGCTATATTGCATACTATGTACCTATATAAATATGCATAACTTGTATATACACATATAAATGTATATATGTACTTATGCGTACATAGGATTGTTTAATGGACATGCCTATTACACCCTGAACAGGGTATATTAAGTTTATCACGAAATTTGTAAAAGCAAGGAGGACTCATCGGAAATCGTATACAGTATTTATATTATATAAGCTGTCTTTGATTGGTCATTTCTCGGCTCTCTTGTCAAAAAATTTGCATGTGAAAGCAACAAAAAAGTTATCGAGTTGAACTGAAGCAAGAGCGTATGCGAGTACCTCATTTAAGTGGTATAACTACTATCTGCAATACTGCCAAGATTTGTTCGGTCGCACTGGGTTTTTGTAGGCGAGCAGACAATGATGAAAGACGAAGTGACCGAGTCGAATATAATAGAAATATTTGACAAAAATATGAATAATAATTAAAATTAACTAATTAAAAATATTTTAGAGCACCGCGTGCATGAGTACCAGATTTTTAGAAGATATGTAGGGAAATGCAGGAAATTGTCGAATTCGAATTGCCGAGCCGTGTCGTTCATATGACATCGCGATAATGGACAACAAAAGTCTTCGTGTGTAAACTCGGTCTTAAAACATATCAGTAAAGTAGACATTTATTAGACATATTTAGTACGAATTATTGGTAAGTCATAAAAGCAACAAACGAAAAAATTATTATTGGAACACACGAAAGTCCATCTTTCGTGACTGGTCCTGCCATCGGATCTGATTGGAGATGCCGGTTTTAGCTTTAACGAAAATATCACGTAAAATAATATTTGAGGTATATGCCTTCAATCCAAAGACTTTAAATCTTAAAATGTACATGATTTACCGTATATATAATATATATATTATATGTATACTTGTATATATAGGTGCATGTGTTTAAACACATGCAAACACATTGTGGCATCTTTACATTCGATCGTCTTAAATGGGTGTTAAATTGGTTAAAATTGATGGCTCACCTACTTTTCGCTCTTTAAAAACCAATAAAATTGCCAATTAATTACTTAATTGAATTAGTGAAATATTGCTGAAGGCATCTCATTCCAGACACATCAAGCAGCAGGTGTAGACTAGGCAATAGTATTTGCTTGGCGCAAAGTAAGAAAGAGGTTGCCTCTTTAATAGTCGGTTATTTTTCTTTCTGATAAATTGAACATAATCGATTGGCAGCCAATATTAATACTCATTAGCCACACATAAGCGCTCGAGTGTATCTAATATTCTCATATGAATGTATTTACTGGAGATTTATTGAATTGCTTATTAAAAACAATGTAAATCTAAACACCAGTGCGCAAAGAGAGACAGCGGGAAGAAAAGTCAACTTTTGCACTGATGGCGGATCATATTTTCACATCAGAGAGCACCCTGTAGGAAACAAATAACGAAATATGAAACTGAGCAATATCCAGCATTTAAGTAGTTGTTTTTACTTTCATTTATTATATCAGCAGTAGATATATATCTCATCTAGAGCAGAACAAAACTTAATCCTCGAGTATATTCTACAAAAATAATCAAAATTACTCCTTCTAGAACACGCTTTTTCAAC